GCAGATCTGCACATTGTTCTGCTCCATTATATGCCTGGCCTCTATTATTTTCCTTACCATCCAACTTGCTTGTTGTGGGACTTGGACTTGTTCCATCTGTTTACCCTTTATATAATATGTATAAATCCACCTTATCCACATTCTATCTTCTTTCTCTGCTAAATTCCAATACAGTTTAATTATAGCTGCCTTATTCCAGATTTTCATGTTAGTGAGGTTCCATCCTCCACTACTCTTAGGATAACAAACTTTTTCCCAGCTGATTAGTGCTTTCTTTGTGATGACATTATTTCCTGTCCACAGATAACTTCTACAGAAGCTCTCCACAACTTTCATCACCTTTGTTGGTATTATGAACAGTTGAGCCCAATAGGACTGAACACCAAATAAAACACTACTTATCAGTTGGCTTCTTCCTGCATATGATAATTTTTTTGCTGTCCATGAAGTGATCCTTGCTACAATCTTCTCTATGAGAGGCTACCATTGTATCATTGTTAGCTTCCTTGTTGACGGTGGAACTCCCAGGTACTTGAAAGGTAACTCTCCTCTTGAAAATCCGATTATTTGCAGCATCTGCTCTTGGACTTGTTGCTTCACTCCTCCAAAATAGATGAAGCTTTACCCAATATTTGCTTGCAATCCTGATGCCTCTGAGAATTGATTATAACTTTGCAGCACCTCAGTTATTGATTCAACATCTCCTCTAGAAAATATTAGAAGGTCATCTGCAAAACATAAATGAGTTAGTTTTAATTTGCCACATTTGGGGTGATAATGGTATTGCTTCCTCTCTGTCATTTCTAGTAGGATTCGACTTAGATATTCCATTGCAATTGCGAATAGAAATGGAGACATAGGATCTCCTTGTCTAAGTCCCTTCTCAGCATTGAAAGGTTCAGTTGGTTCTCCATTCACCATGATAGTGTAGTTCATTGTTTTAACACATTCCATCACCCAAGCTATAAATCTTTCTGGGAATCCTATTAGCCTCATATTCTGCTCCAAGTAGTTCCATTCAACTGAATCATAAGCCTTTTGTATGTCTATTTTGATCATACACCTTGGTGATATATGTTTCCTTGTGTACCCCTTTATTAGTTCATGAGCCAGAATGATATTATCACCTATTTTTCTGCCTGGGACAAAGCCAGCTTGAGCTTCACATATAATCCCTCCAATTACCTTCTTTATTCTTGCAGCCAGGATCTTTGAAATCAGTTTATATAGCACTGTGCAACATGCTATTGGTCTAAATTCTCTGATTGTTGTTGGGTATCAGGGTGACGGCTGTACAGTTAATGGCTCTATATAATCTTCCTGTTGAGAAGAAGTCTTGTATTGCTGTAGTCACTTCACTACCAATAATGTGCCATACTCTTTTAAAAAATACAGCATTAAATCCATCTATCCCTGGAGCCTTATCATCTCCTATTCCTTTTAGTCCCTCAAACACTTCCTGCTTAGTAACCTATTTGCATAACATCAGTCTTTGTTCTTAAGTTAGCATTAGTCCTTTCTTCATTACTGTTCTATTCACTGCTGTAAATCTTCTTGCTGATGTACCCATTAGACTCTTATCGAAACTAATTATCTCTTCTTTAACCTCATCTGGTTTATTAACTTTCTTCCCTTCCATGGTTGTCAGCTCCTTTATTTGCTTCCTGTACTTCCTTTCTTTCATTACTGTTGAGAAATACTTAGTGTTTATATCTCCCAGTTGTATCCATTTTGCTCTTGCCCTCTGTTTCATAATACTCTTTTCAATCATTGACCACTTTTTCAGTTTTTGTAATGCATTTCTTTCTTGCTCTTGCATAGCATCTGTAAAGTTCTTTTGCATCTGACTCTGCACTCTTCTGATTTCATTCCTTGCTTCTTCCATTTTTTGTTCAGCATTTCTAAATTCTCTATTATTCAATGTCTTTAGCCTTGTTCTTAGTGCTTTCATTTTCCTCCATATTCCCCTCATGATCCAAGGATCTTTATGTTGTTCCCAGGTCTCTTTTACTATTTGATCAAATTCCCTATGGTCTGCCCAAACATTGAAAAATCTAAATGGACATTTAGTATTATTCTATTCCTCTCCCATGTTCAGCAACATTGGTGCATGGTCGGATATTCCTGGCAGCTCATACTCCATTACTATATTTTCCCATTTCATCATCCATTCATAATTCCCAAATGCCCTATCAATTCTGCTTTGAATTCTGTCTTCCATTCTTTGCTTATTTGTCCATGTATAATAATCCCCTTTCCATATCACTTCATTCAAGTTAGTTGTTTGAAGGCAGTCATTGAAGTCTTGGACATCAGCTTGTTGCACTGGATTACCTTGGTCTCGATCTGTTGAACTCAATATTGCATTAAAATCCCCTATTACTAGCCAAGGTTTGGCAATACCTTGAGCTAGTGTCTTCAGTTCCTCCCATATCCCTCTTCTTTGTTCAATTGTATTGAACCCATATATAAAAGTTACCAAGCAGTCTATTTCACATCCTGTAACTTCACAATGTATCAACTGTGCAGTCTCCTTCACCTTAACTACCTGAAAGTTATTTGTATCCCATATTACCCATATCCTCCCATTCCTAGCAGATGAATAATTGTGCAAACTATTCTATCCCATAGCTATATTTCTAGTGATTGTTCCAGCTTTGTTTTCCTTGACCCTTGTTTCAACTATAGCAGCTATTCCTATTTTTTTTGTTTTGAGGATTTTCTTTAATTCTTTCTGCTTATATCTCTTATTCAATCCCCTTGTATTCCACACTAACCAGTTCATAAAGATCTCTTTGCCTTACCTCCTATATCAGGAGGTTCAGTGTGAGCACCATTCCCCCCTCTACTTAGTATTTGAAATCCATTCCTTAATGGAACTGATCCAAGCACTGGAAAGTTGATATCATTAAACTCTGGGCTTGCCCTCTCCAGCTCTTGATTTTTGCTCATAACCATAGGTGTTTGCTCTTCTTGTAATACTGAGATCTTGATCACCCCTGAGCCTTGCCCTGTTTCCATTCCTGTTGTGGCCACATGTTGCTGCTGCTTGGTTAGTTTTGGTTTTGCCCTAGCTTCTTCTGCTACAATCTGTGTTTTCCCATTCTCTTTAGTTACCCATTGTTGTGTTATCTTCTTAGGCTTTCTCTTTTCATTCATTACTACACCATACTGCCTCTGTCCTTTCCCTTCTTGCTTGCAGTTGTGCCCAGTGACCTGGCATATTTCACAAAATTTAGGCTTTCAATCATAGTAAATTGGCTGCAGGAAGGTGCTTCCATTTGGGTCTTCAACCAATATTTCCTCCTTCAAAGGCTTTGTCACACCCACCTCTATTAACATCCTGGCATAGGACACCCTCAACTGTTTAGCAGTACGCCCATCAGCATACATAGGCGTACCAATTGAGCTTGCTATTCTACTTAGTGAGTTCTCCCCCCAACAATTCAGTGGAAGTTTAGGGAATCTAATCCATAGAGGAATTTCAGTGGGGAATTCCTTCTTAAAATCAAATTCAGCTATCCACTGTTTAAGAATAATAGGCCTGTTACTGATTGTGTATGGTCCAGCTAACATAATTTCCTTCATATCCTCCATAGTCTTAAACCCGACAATATAATAGCCATCATCATGCAAGTATAGCTCTGGATCTGGAATTATGTTCCAATTAATTTCTATATACATTTTCATTACATTGTATCCTGGTAGTTCACCCAGTACATACACAATTAGGGCCCCTTGCCATTTTTTTGTTTCTCTATCAACCTCTTTTTTATCTAATTGAACAATAACTTGGCCATCTACCACTTTTGGTGGAATATAGGTTAGTTTCATACCATTTTCTGCTGCTTTATTCTTCACAAATAAACTCGTCCATGCTGATTTCTCCTCCACCCTTGGCTCTTCCTTGTTCTCTTCAGCTATTGTTACTGTTCCATTGGCTGGTGACTGGGTGCTGTTCTCATTCACTTTAGTTGCTTTCCCACCTAGATCTCGTTCCTTCAGCACTGGATCTGGACTCGTTTGGAGCTCGTGATTACTTTCTGAAGCTTCAGCTTGTGATGTAGCTCCTTTGTTTGCATCCGCTATTCCCATCTCATCTTCCTCATCTTCCTTTGAATCTTTAACGTTTCCAGCTATACTATTGAACTTATCAATTGGAATCTTCCGTGGTCGGCCTCGTCCTCTTCCTTGGCCACCACCCCTGCCTCTCGCCCCTGCCATTGACACACCAACGTAGGTTAGACTAACTTACGCCGAGAGCATAGAGAGAGAGAGAAGATTTTGCCTATAAACAACTATATATGTACATTTTCGACAAATAAATTATGAGACAATTCATGAGGCATCTATGTATTACTAGATAATGTTGCCCATGCTTTGCATGGGCCCAACAAATTATAGTGTAAACTTATTTTTATTTATCACAAAAGATTAGCAGATAATTTTGCTGATAGTGGTGTTTATATGTGCAGTAGCGAAAGAAAGGTAAATGTAAATCTACATGATGACCTGGAGTGCAATAACTTTGTAGTTACTGCTAGAATTACAATTCTGTTTGTATATCTATCTTGATATTACATAGCTAAAAAATTAAAAATTTCATTAGTTAGCTTTCTAGAGTAATGTTGAACCACTTCATTGTTTGCAGAAGAAAAAGAAGAAGAAGCTAGTAATACATGGTACAAAAATCTTGATTCAAATAACCTTTGAAAACAGATCCATCTGTTTAGCTCTTTGTAATCACGTCGAAGCTCATTTAAATCTCCAGGAATTTCCACAAGCCATAAGAGATTGTAACGAAGCATCCGAAATCGAAAATAACCTCTCAAGCTCTTTGTTATGACGCTGAAGCCCATTATACATCTATAATTCTTTTGTTAAATAGTAAAAGTAGACATCAGTAGTATAAAAGTAAACACCATGGGATAAACGTCTCAAACTTTCGGAAATGTACATGGATCCTAATTATAAGATGTTATACAATATCTGGAGGCCGCTCCAAGATCCAAAAAATAATACCAATTGACTTCAAAAACATAGGCATACACTACTGACAACTATTTAGGCAAAAAATGTGAAACATTTTGTTAAGGCGGCCAAATATCTAAACCTTGTTAAAAGATCGGTATGATCTGTCAAAATGTCTCTGTACATCGCATACCATTTCAGCGAACATCACTGCCTTGACAATCTGTACAAATAAAGAGAGATTTTATTTTCATATTTGAAACATTACGTTTAACACTTCCAAACAGATCCCACGAAACTGCATAAGTCAACCTATCCAAACATCTCACTCTCAATAACAACAAAATATGTATATGTAATGGGACATATCCATGGTTATTCTTGTGGGATGTTAGCTGCCTCACTGAAGCCGGCATAGAGGTGGGTAACACTAAATATGACGTTTTTCTTGTATTGTGATAACTCAACTTACCTCCCAAAGAGAGCTTTAGCGGTACATACATTACATGGTGACATAAAATGGTTATGTAAGTGATTTGTCAGTATATAAAAAATCAAGGAGAATAGATATCTCATCAGGCATTTCAAAATTTTATGAGACCAAAAAGGAAGCCAAAATTTAATCAAGAAACTTATGCAGGAAAAAAATATCTCGACTCCTTACATGTGCAGCTAAAAGGTCTAAGTTGTCCAGCTTTAAAATAAACTATTGCATGATTTTCACCACCTAAATCAATTCATTCTCCTTAGCAAACACTACTTTTTTTTAATATCTCGAAATGGAACACCATTTTGAAAGACAAAACAAATCCTGAAACAAATATCATAAAAAATTATATGGATGAGAGCAGTATGCAAATATTCTAACCTTGACTGCGGCTTTAGTAGAGTACTTGGTTCCCTTTTCCGTTTCTTAGTTGCTTTTGCATTAGCCCCAAGTATTGACTCTTCTTCCATAATTCTCTCGGCATCACCCACAGATGCTGACTCTTCTGGTAGAAACATGGTTGGTTTTTATGTGTATGATAAAAGGACCAGAGAACCTGCATTTTTGTCTGGTGTTCTGGATGATGACCTTTGTAGTTGAATTCTGAACAGTTTATCTGCAAGTAGTTGATTGATATGGGCAACAGGGAATAACTCATTCTGCAAACAGATAGGAAAAACAATGGACTTGTCAAAGCTTATGTTTATGTGTTAACTATCGAAGTATTATATTAACTTTGTTGGCTTATGTTAACTGCAATGTTGTATATGTATGTACCTTAATGTTGATGATATCGTATATTTGTTCAGCTGTCGTTGACAACATCCTTTCGCCCAAGCCTTCAGACACTGTTGCTGTCGTCGTGCCTGTTTCATCTGTAATTTCTACCTCAAAGTGGCACCTATGATGTGGTTTTACAGTTCAATTGAAAATATAGAGACACTACAAATTCCAAAACAGTTCTGTAATTACAATATTTATATATCATTAAAAGTATCACACTTTACACCACAAATAAATCGAGTTAAAAGATAACAGATAGATTGAACAGAACACAAACTCATTGACCTATTAACAATTAGGTCAAGGCTTTACGTTTCTATGATTCGCACAAAGTAACATATAAGAAATCAGGTAGGAAAACTAATAGCTTTAACTTATTTCAGGCATAACTTTTACAATAATAGAAGCCTGAACATTTGAGTTTTCTCTGTAGCTATTCAAAAGTCAGGACATGAAAACTATTGGAACAAAAAAGGAAAGAAAACTCTTTCGGATAGTGAAAAGAGGGTGAAAGTAATCAGAGTTTAACTGAAACTCACTGGTCTATTCATAACTCGGCCAAAGCTTTACTTTGACAAAGTTCCATAAGTCAGAAATAGAGAAACATATAATAAACAAGGTAAAAATCAAATAAAATACTTGTAACTGCAAATGCTAGCAGAAGAAATGCAGTAGTTTGTGCCTCTGCCTTTGTTTTCTTCTGTCGTTAGAATAGCGTTAGTTGTGGTTAAAGAAAGCTACAGTTTGTTTTTGTTTAGCTCATTGCTTGTGCTCTAGTGAGCTTAAATGAGTTTTCAGCTATAGTGCATCCCAAAATATCGCAAAGTGGTTATTAACGTGTATGCATAAGAAAAACAAAAGAACATGGAAAAAGCCTTGAGGGGTGATATTATCACATTTTTAAGAAAAACTGGCTACTTTGACTTTTGAGGCGACACAGATTATTAATGCACACAGTATTAAATATTGTCAGTGACATCATCTTATTAGTAGCGGTTGTTACCTTGGAATTAACATTCGTGGTAGCCTGCAGTTTATGCATTGAATCTCCCTTTTTATTTTGCTCCGAACAAGATGGTTACATTCAGAACAACGTAGCAGATAAAATCGTTGGAAATACTCAGGTAGCGAAATTTCTCCTTCCACGTAAAAAATTTCTGCCTGCAAAGTGTAAATAATGAAACAAGTCGTCAGGTTTATTTTTTTTATAATATAAGCAATGGAACTTGCTAAATCATCAATTGTTAATTGCATATAATTTCCAGTGACGAAATAATACAAAGTTGCGTATTAGAGGAACAATATTGTAGCTTGTATTGAGTAATAAGATACTGTAAGATGCCTAAAGTAACAGGAGAGATCAAAAGGGCGGATCAACCTGAACACTTGATAATATTCTTATTAACATATGGAAAATGTAGGATTTGTATGAAGCACATAACTACAATCCCAAAACTCTATTCTAGCAAGATAATTAGTCTGCTATAATTAACAGTAAGTAAGCAGCCATAGTTGAAGTTGTAAGCTTCTGGTATACATCTATTTGATTAACATGTGTTCAATATGGCCAGCAAGTAAGAAAATAACATATGTGGTAATTTGGAACTACAGAACCTAAGAAAATTCCTAAAAAAGATAAACAACGTAAGAGGATCTGTTTGATAGGTAGTTGAATTTTAGCGTAAGAGTTTATTCCAAAAATTTATACTCTAATATTGTTTAGACCATAATGTTATTGGGCTGACACGAATAGTAGCATATTAGAACATATTTAACAGTTATCCATATTGTATAAAAGATACATGGTGTGGCACACTGGAGGTTTAACAGTTATCCATATTGTAATTTACTGAACTCACACCGGAGGTTTGAGTAGCAATAGATGAAATAGATAATATTTCATCGTCAACAGCTACAAGATTAAGCGATGAAGCTGACTCTGCTGAACTCTTCACTGTGTATTCGATTAACATTTCTTTGTTCTTATCTACCCTATAATTCGCACAGGAAATGTCAGACAATTTTTTTTTCACAAAACAAATTATAATTGAATAATAATGTGATACATTTTAAGCATAGTTTGTATTGTACCAATTCCGTAATTCAGTTGCTTGCACATATAGGGGATTGATTAAGATTGTTGAGTTGTATCTTGTTGCCAAACGGGAAACTGTGTATGCAAATTTTGTTAATAACCAACGCGGAACCATTATCCATATGTAAAAATAGGAACTTCATGAACTTACCACCATGGTATGTTGTGGTACCTATCCGTTTCGCGAGAATAACAGGATATTCTTGAAGTTGCCTCACTTGTCTCGGTAACTCAATTCCTTCATTGCTTGCCAAATCTTCCCATATAGTGAAGAAAAGAGGTTTCTTCCTGTACATGTACTTTTATAAGTGTCAGTTAGAGATTTTGTTATGTAACAGAAAATTAAATGACTCACGTATTGTCCATAACTATGGCCTCTTGAAATCTCTTAGTCTGATCAGCGGTGTATTGCATTACACCACAGTTTGCCACTACAGCTAGTAGATCTATTGTTATAAACAAAAAACAAATGTAGGTAAAACCAATATACTTGCATTGACCATGGGTCCGAAGCAATTAAGCTCTTATAAGGCATAGGGTTATTTGAAACATACCAAATTCAACACCAGAAGGCTGTTGTTCAACGTCGGCGAACGAAATCGCACTCAGTCTCGACGGAGGAGGTAACGGTGCCTCCTTTTCGTTAGTTTTTGGGATAGACTCAATAATAGTGAATCTGTCAACGATCCACTCAAACTGGCCAATATGTAGTGAATAAGGCTGCGGATTTCTAACCTTCACAGTTGAAATCAGATATGTCTCAAAAAGTTCGAACAAGTTATCACATCGTTTAATGTCGTCACCATAGAGTATTACACAAATTTGTTCCTCCTACAGTGTTATCAAGAATGATAACGCAGTAATTATTGGAAGAGTACAAGTGAGAAGATGTTATGTTACAATTATGGTTGTAACGTGACTTACGTTTACATCCTGGACAATTATTGTCTGAAAATGAACTCGCTGATCTCTACTGTCTCGCGGCCAAAATTTATCTACAGTCTGGACTTTACAAGTCCATTCTGTAGTTAGTGGTGTAATTTCACTGATACTAAGTCTTTCTTCCATTTTCTCAATATAACCTGTATATTGATAAGTGTAAAATTGCAAGAACAAATCCCAGGATTAAACACAAACCAAGAAGCACAACCAAATATTTTAAGAAACAAAATTCAACCTATTCAAACAAATAAGTTAACACTTCGGGAAAAAATAAATAAGCTTATAAAAGAAAGATAGATAAATATTTGAGGCACAATAATGTTTTGACATATAGGCACAATAATGTTTTGACATATATTCTGAAAAAGAAAACAACTTATTGTATGAAGAAAATGGAAGAAGTTCTGTTCTTGGTATCACTAAATTTTTTTAGTAAATTGTTTCATATACAGAACTGAAAATAACATATTATTCAAAGCAACAGTAGAGAAAAGCATATAAAGAGATTTAGATGTATAATAAGTCCAAAATTTCTCAAAAAGCATAATCAGTAAAACCCAAAATTGACTAATTAACATACGACACTGTGCTAGCACTGGGGAACCCCCAAAAAACAAGCAGCAATGACATCGATAAAATTCAACATTGAAGGGGAACGTACAGATTTTTTTCGTGAAATCGAAAGTAGCGACCAAATTGCTATCAAAACAGCAAAGAACTTACAATAATTCAAAACAAACTCATAGATTACAGTGATAACAAATTATTCACTCACTTGAAAGTTGAAACAAAGAAGAAATCAGAGGATGAAGTAGTAGAATGCAGACAGAGAAAAACAAAGAAGATGAATAGATAGAGATAGAGAGTGACCTATCTGTCATACAAAAGCGCCGCAGACTTCTTGTATTTGCACCAACTGTAAAGTTGATTCACACACGTTAGCTTTCAGCCAAAATTAGGAGCAATATGAAATGACCAGAATACCCTTTAGCAGCAAGCACACATGACGACCTTCAGCTGCTTCTCTCGCTCTTCCATATATTAGTAATAACTAGATAATGTTGCCCATGCTTTGCATGGGCCCAACAAATTATAGTGTAAACTTATTTTTATTTGTCACAAAAGATTAGCAGATAATTTTGCTGATAGTGGTGTTTATATGTGAAGTAGCGAAAGAAAGGTAAATGTAAATCTACATGATGACCTGGAGTGCAATAACTTTGTTGATGACCTGGAGTGCAATAACTTTGTAGTTACTGCTAGAATTACAATTCTGTTTATATATCTATCTTGAGATTACATAGCTAAAAAATTAAAAATTTCATTAGTTAGCTTTCTAGAGTAATGTTGAACCACTTCATTGTTTGCAGAAGAAAAAGAAGAAGAAGCTAGTAATACATGGTACAAAAATCTTGATTCAAATAACCTTTGAAAACAGATACATTTGTTTAGCTCTTTGTAATCACGTCGAAGCTCATTTAAATCTCCAGGAATTTCCACAAGCCATAGGAGATTGTAACGAAGCATCCGAAATCGAAAATAACCTCTCAAAACAGAGGAAATCCTTCTGTTTAGCTCTTTGTTATGACGCCGAAGCCCATTATACATCTATAATTCTTTTGTTAAATAGTAAAAGTAGACATCAGTAGCATAAAAGTAAACACCATAGGATAAACGTCGCAAACTTTCGGAAATGTACATGGATCCTAATTATAAGATGTCATTATACAATATCTGGAGACCGCTCCAAGATCCAAAAAATAATACCAATTGCCTTCAAAAACATAGGCATACACTACTGACAACTATTTAGGCAAAAAATGTGGAACATTTTGTTAAGGCGACCAACTATCTAAACCTGGTTAAAAGATCGGTATGATCTGTCAAAATGTCTCTGTACATCGCATACCATTTCAGCGAACATCACTGCCTTGACAATCTGTACAAATAAAGAGAGATTTTATTTTCATATTTGAAACATTATGTTTAACACTTCCAAACAGATCCCACGAAACTGCATAAGTCAACCTATCCAAACATCTCACTCTCAATAACAACAAAATATGTATCTGTAATGGGACATATCCATGGTTATTCTTATGGGATGTTAGCTGCCTCACTAAAGTCGGCATAGAGGTGGGTAACACTAAATATGCCGTTTTTCTTGTATTGTGATAACTCAACTTACCTCCCAAAGAGAGCTTTAGCGGTACATACATTACATGGTGAAATAAAATGGTTCTGTAAGTGATTTGTCAGTATATAAAAAATCAAGGAGAATAGATATCTCATCAGGCATTTCAAAATTTTATGAGACCAAAAAGGAAGCCAAA